CCAAACGCCTTATTTAATCTATCGGCTTGTGGCGTTTCTTTGTAGATTTTCTCATCGAAAAAAAACACAATTCCCCTTTAAAATAAACATTAAAACAATATTCTGAATGAAGAATACCTGCATAAAATTTCAGCCACTATAGGTAAAAAGTAGAGAGTTCTAGCGAAATACTTGAACAAATGTGAAACAATAATCGATAGTATTGAAAGAACATGCACCGACAAACCGATAATCGTTCGCTATTTTAAAACAATGAATAGTTTAGCGTCAATGCGTTGAGCAGATGATGGAGTTTGCAGCAAAATATTTAAACTCTAACAAGTTTTTATCTTACAAATTACATTTTCCTGCAGCGGATGGAAGAACTATAAAACTCTCTCCAAAAGAAAATTTATCATTATTAGCATCAGTGCTTCTTCAAACAGTCGTTATGATAGTATAATGGAAGAAGAATGGAAAAAATGCAAGATAGAATATTCAATTTTCATTCCAGAGTTAGAAAAGTATAATACTATTCATATCTTTTATTAGATAGGGAAGAAGTTATCGATAGTACGGGTAATAACATAAAAACAATGCTAGTTCAAGTTCTTGGCATATTGAAAGTGGAAAAAAAAGGTCAATTAAAGGAACTTTATTGTATTTTGTTTGATTTTAAAGGTCTACATAACATGTTATAAGTATTTGAATAGTATAAAACAATATTTTAATTTTATGTTATATCTCTTTCTTCTCTTACTTACTTTTAGCATATTTAAGAAAGAATTGTAAGATTCTCAACTTCTAAAGCTATCAAGACGATTTCAATTCTTTCATTATGAATTAAAGTATTCAATTGTTTAATTATTTGATTAAAATACTAAAAAAAAAAAAGAAAGACAGCATTGTGTTATATATTTTGAGAAGCAGATGTTAACGACCTACTTGTATTTATTCATTATAATACGAGTATTGTTGTCATCTATAATATAAGCATATAGAGTATAGCAGCTATTTAAATAAAATAATCATAATCAATAACACGAAATATTTGCTATTCAGAATTCAAATGTCATCATTGTGCAAGATTTGATTACCATAACCATAAAATATCTAGGTATAAAGGAACTATTAAACCATGACAACGCTAAAAAAATTATAGCCTGTATTGTGTACAGGTGTGTATAACTAACAATAAAAGAATGCTACGAAGAATGAATGAATGAGAACAAAAAAATGAAAGCTTTGTCTTTTTTTTTCTTATGTATTTTTCTAAAAGGTTAATCTCTGTGAAAAAAAACATACTATTTCTTATTTATGTTGAGCACATTTAACTGGATCAAAAGTTGAATAACCAAAAAATTCGATTAGAGAGATATACTTATTTATCATGAACAATAGCGGGATAATAAAAAACGGGAAGTAGAGCAGAAACATGTTGAAAAAATGAATGAAAAAATCAAGATGGCACGGAATGAAAGGAAGGAAAAAAGTAGCATATATATATTGTACATAAAGGGTAGGAAGTGAAAGAGAGAGACTAGGAAGCAGGCGTCTTGAAAGAGATTTTTAATTTAACTAGGTAAAATGAAATATAAATATTAAATTTTAATATCAAATAAATACAAAAAGTTACAAAATGTACAGCATTATACATAGCTGAAGAAAAATCAAAGAACTCTTTATACAAGTTTAAAAAAATAAGCATACCGTATCAATACAAGACATAACCTTTCTCTCTTTTCATTCTCTTCGTTGTCTTTTATTTAAAACCTTTAAATTTCCTTTTTCAACCTATTATAATTGCTGTAATAGACTTCAAACAATAGAATTTGGTACTTGCAAATAACAAAGTTAAGATCAAGGTCAAAACATCAACAATACGTTTCTAATTGCAAAAAAAAAGGTTTATGCTTCAGGCTGTATGTATACATATCTATACATGTTATCATATTATATATATATACAGTATATATCTTTTAAGGTCGCTTCGATACTCCTTTTCTTGATTAAAAATTCTGCTATCTTGTTGATATATTGATATATATATATCTGTGTGTAAATTGAAATAGATAAGGGTAATTCCTATTCATTTTATCAAGTTCAAGTTCACCGTTTAGGGATATTAGTACTTTCGATTAATCAATAGACACTTAATAGCGGTAGCGAATTCCAATCGAAAATTTGATAAGATAGCAATCCACTCAAAAAGAGTTCAAATATTTTTACGTATCAGTAGGTAGGTAAAAATCCAAAAATGACCATTATATTAAAAACAAACGTAATCTTTTGTAAATTGCCTAATAAAACTTTCAAATTGCACATTAAAAGCTTTTTATCTGTAGATAATAATTCTATTATTTAAAAAAAAACAAGAGCAGGATAATTTATAATATAAATGTACATATTGTCAACTGTAGTATAAACATCTAAATACTATGTATATATATATATATATATATCTATGTATATCAGGGAGAGGGAGAGAGAGAAAGGGTACAATACTGTATAAAGAATGCAATTAGAGCATTTTATATGCGTAAATAAGTATCGTTGTTTGTTTTCAATTTTTTTATCTTTCTTCTCCTTTCCTAAAAACTTGTAATCATAATGATCTATTTGCAGTAAGGGGAAGAGTAAACAAATTACACAAATTAAAACCAATTATAACAATAATTTGGCTTATTTAAACACAAAAGACATAATATTAAGGTAGCTAATAGACGTTTATTATTATTTTATGTTGTTATTTGTTCACCTTCTTTCGATTTGTAACAACAAAAAGAAACAAACAAAATATGTAATTCATTCTATAAAGAGAGAAAAAATCTGTTAATAGGCTTAATTTACTTTCCTCTATCACCTTAAAAACTCTCCAAGATAATATAAACATGTATAAAGTGTTTACTTTTCCCGAGTACAAAATGATTCATCTTATTTAAATAATATATAGTATATGCAGTATAGAGTGTATTTATACACAGTTGCTGCATGATTGTATATTTCTCGGTAATACACATATCATTTAAAAGAAGGATTAATCATATTAATCATTTATGCATGAATTATGGATTAAGCCTATAAATTATCTTAAGCGTTTATATTTGTTATTTATATACATATATATAAAGAATAAGCAGATAATGAAAAAGGTTTATTGCACCGGATGTTAGAAATATGTTTATCTATTTAAAACGGGAGTGATGAGGAGGAAGCGATGGAGGGGGGAGGGGAGATGCCAGAGGGAAGCAAAGAAGCAAATCAAAGCTCATTTTTTTTATTAACAAAGAATTTTTTTATTATCATTATTTTTTATTTAAAATGATTATCAAAAAAAAATACTTATAGATAACAAGTTTTATTATTATTGTAGATAGTATTCTATGTATTGCTGTATTGTACTATTATTTTTAATCTACACGTCTCTTCAGAATGATAGAGAGCAGGAGAAAAGAGAAAGATGATAATGATGAAATAGATTATTCTCATTTTAATGTATAAACAACCCTTTTTTATTTATACTTATATATAAAGTTGTATATATATATATATATAATTATATTTACAAAAAAAAAAGATCTATTATTAAGTCTTTTATCATTTATATATCTTTCTTAGCACGAATAAAAATTAATTTGTCACTTGGACAAGTTAATTACTTTGTCCTTTAAATGCTTATCTCTTCTGCAAAATTAACATAAGCAGATTAGAGATAATTACATTAAACAAAGGCAATTTGTAGATTTCCCCTTATTTTAATACAAATAAAACGTTTACGAAAATGTAAAGACGACAGAAGAAGGTCACAAAAGAGATAATTTTATATAAATAATAAGTTAATAATATGAGAAGGAAGCTGTTTTAAATAATTAGGCTGTCAAAGAGGAAAGGAAACAGAAATGTCCCAGCTAAAAGTTGACTGAAACATGTCAAATTACCTTAATGATGTATGTCTACATTATTTATTAATTCAACGAAAGAATTTCAAACTTTGATCAAAATAATTAAAATTGGAAAGCAAATCATGAGTTACGTATTCTAATTGCATTGGTAGTCGTTCCCTTTCTCATTATTTACTGGGTTTAAAGAAATTAACAATGTAAAGCGAATCTATTTAATAATGTAAGAAATCAAACAGGAAAAAACATGATTCTCTTTTATTTACAGCTTATTTTAATAATTCATAAACTATTCTTTACCCTAATTAATTATTCAATCAGCTTTTTTTCTAGCTTCAATAATCATTCAAAAAGCCACTAGAGCGTTTCAATAAATGTTAATAGAATTCCTGTCTAAATAACTTTCCTTTACTTTCAATAGTCATAAAAAAAGAGAAAATACAATTGAATATTATTTAATATTTGAAAAAAGTAAATAAAAAGAAGAAAAGAGAGTAGAAAAACACCTTTCCTTAATATTTTCTTTATGGATTAATTGCTGAATTCCAAAGACCAATGTTTTTTTTTATCTGCGATTAGCTTTGTTAATTGATTTCATTATTATATATGTTAAAGATTACTTTTAAACATAGTTGCAAAGAAAAATGATAGAAATAGAAACATTGGAGAAAAATTGAAGAGTGAGCATCAGTATAGTATAATATATGTATATATAGTATTAAGTATATTATATATATATGATATTTATTTAGGCCTCAAGAAATATAATTGAACAAAGATATATAAGTAGTATTAGGAAATATATGCATTGTCAATAAATTATTGTATAAAAACTGAAAAGGTTATTGAAAAAAGCATTAGAATTAGTTTATAAACTACTTGAGGGTTTAAGTAAAGAAACAGTATATCCCATACTTTAAAAAAAAAATCCTTTTAATAGAAATCAAGAAATATTAAATAAAAAAAAAACAAGAAAGAATAAAATGTGTTTAATTGACCTAGTTTTCTTTATCTGTTTCTTTATGCCTTTTCTCTTCTAAATAATTTAGATTTTACTAAATAATATTTTTTTAAAAAAAAAAAAGACTTAAAAAAAAGATATACATCAATTTTGTATTGATAGTTCTTGTGGACTTAGTAGAAAAGTAAACATTCTTTTGAAAAGTACTATTATAATAATAATAGATTTTAATTCTGGCTTTATATTTATTTAATGAGAATTACATTGTCCATCATCTTAAGAATTTCTCAACTTCACCTGTCGAATAAAAAAAGTCTATTGAGAATTACGTAACCTTTGTACTCTTATACTATAAACAAGAATGGGAGAGCTACTTACGTGTTGCCGAATGTAATTTAGCCCTCTTCAACGCTTTATATAGAAAGTGAATTTCGGCACCTTTTCTTTCCTTCCAGGCTTCAAGTACCCTACTGACCCGTTCCCTTCTCGATTCTATAATCTCTAAATCATTTAGCTCATTATCTTTCAAACCCAATTTAATGGCCAACTCTTTCCATTGTTTTTGCACTTCGAAATCCCCAACAACTCTTCGCACGATGTCTTTTAGCACTTTCTCTTGCCTTTGTTTATTCGTGGCCTCACGTATTTTCTCATACTCCTCTTCTAGATCATCTGCTAATAGAGCGTATCCATTTTCGTCCAATGCCAGAATGAACTGTTGTAGCTATTCAATTCAAGTGAACAAAAAGAAGTGAAAGCGATGATCCAAAAGATAAAAATTTTAAAGAATTAGCTAAAAGTCTTACGCAATCGTCGTTTATGGCGCATAGACTATACCACGCTTTTAAAGCTGAATAAGCTCTCTCCTCATCCGTATCTTTCTCTTTTGTAATCCTATCAATTGTAGCCGTAGATAATTTGAGACTTTCGGCTATGTTCTTCCAGTTTGTTACTAATTGGTGGGCTATTCTCTCAAAGTAATCTTGGTTTAAAAGTCCTTTTTCTCTTATTGGTACAGATGATGTCCTCTTGGGTGTTGGACACCTCTCCATTTTCTAAAATATAAACAAAAAAAACCCATTACAAAACACTCGAATCCTTATGAAAAGAAATAATTAAGTTAAGAACCTTTGGTAAGTCCACTTGAATTTCGCAATGCACTTTGGTTTTTCCGGTTTCCGCTTCATTAGGGTTGCAATAGGAAAGGACTTGCAACTTACCGAAATAAGACTCTCGTCCATTCTGAGCATATGGTTCAACTACTTTAACTGATGCGTACACTTTAAATGATCTACATTGAAAAAAGTAAAAAGCAGGAATCTTTTCTTCAAACTGGACATTTTTAGTAAAGTTTAACAAGAGCCTTTCACCCTCATTTACACATATTTCCGAATCACCAGAAATAAGCGAGTATCCTGCTCCTTCTAAATCTGCTTGTTCGCTTTTCACCTGTATAGATTTGTTTTGGTGTAATTGACTATATAGTCGTTAATACAGTAATAGTATAATCATATTATTCTATTTTTCAACTTACGTTATCTGAACTGGAGCATACTATGGCAATTTTATTTGGATTGTCAACTATTTGGCTAACTTGGAAAATAGCCGCTTTCTTTTGAGTTACCAAAATCTTTATATTTTGAGCAATATTGATGTTATCATCTCTGGTAGAATCGCTTGTCGTCGTTATTAGAAATATTCTGGTATAAAAATTAAATTCCTTATGATAAATTGCTTTTGTGAAAAGGTTGATGATGAATTGCTTTACCGCTTAACCTTCTCTTTCACAAGAAATTCAACTGTATCATCAACGATCTCGTAGGTCAAACCATCCTTGACGTGATAGCCGTCTTCCGTCTCTGTAACGATAACGATCTTTTCTCCTAAATTAAGCTGAGTCTTTTCTCTAACTTGACAAGAAGCCCCTGGCGTTTTTACTTTACTCGTTTTTCTGGCTTTCACAGAGGCGGTACCGGGGAAAGGCATACCGATAAAAACTCCATTTTTTACAATATTCGGCATATTCAAATTCAATACCACGCTCGTTTCTAGGAAAGATTCTGGCATATTAAAGAATTTTCTTAATCTGACTCGAGCATCTTTATTAGTTTGTAGTATCTGTAGCTCTATTTCTTCAGTTTTTTTACCAAAAGAGTTTTTTGGAATCCTTATTGATACTCGCGAATCAATTGTCGACGTAACAGTTGTACCCTTATCCGGCTTTACTCTCTCTTTTTCAACTCTAGGCCTATGAACTACACACACTTTTACAACCGGCTCAAGGTACTTGAGTTGACAATGGATGAGAGGAATCTGTTTCAATTATATTTTTTTTAACCTAAATAGATTACACTTACGCAGTAATAATAACAATAAATTATTCAAACCTTTCCTTCGGTTGATTTTAGACTTTCCATTATCTTCGAATCGTTAATAGAGTTTAAGGGATTTACGTCAATCCATCCATCGCTCGTAAATAATCTTACTATTATCTCTTTCGTATTTACTTTCCGACAGGATTGATGAGGTATTGACACAATTACTGGATACTTTAAACAATCGTTTTAGTATTATAAAGAGAAATAAAAATAAATAATAAATAATAGGCTTATAAATGTTCTCACTTGAAATCTAATTGTTTTAGTACACTTTATCTGAAAGTTGAGTATGTTGCTGACAATATCAGCATTATCGTCAAATGGATGTTGAGAAATCATATTTAAGTCTTCTTCCAATCTGCAAGTAACATTGTCGAATGATAAATCATCCTCTAAAGCTTTTAGGTGGCAACCCAATCCCGTAGCAGTCATATCTTCTTCTTTGGATATTGTATATGTATGGGAGGGCCAATTTCGTCTATCTCTTCTTTTCTCTTCGAGTTCCTGCTTCTTTTTTTCCTCTTCTTGTCGACGTTTTTGCTCCCTTTTTCTCTTTTCCCTCTCTTCGCCTTCTTTTTTTAAGCGCTCTTCCAAAGCCTTGCGTTTCTTTTCCTCTTCGATCTTTCTTAACTTTTCTTGTTCTAGTCGAAGATTTTCTTCCTCTTCCCTCTTCCGCTCCTCTTCCTCCTTTCTCTTCCTCTCTTCTTCCTCAACTCGTATTCTTTCCAGCTCCTCCGCCTTCTTCCGATCTTCCTCCTCTTTCTTCAGCTTTTCCGCCACCATCCTCTTTTGTTCAATCTGTTGTCCGAAAAAAGAAAAATATATGAAAGATACTGATAATAAAGAGGATATCTTGTACAAATATCTTTACATATTTCATAGAATCTAAAAGGATTAAAAAAGAACCTCTTCACGAATCTTTCTCATATTTTCATTAAGAATTTCAGCATCCTCTGTTATCTTTAGATTGTCTTTTTCCATCAGAGAACAGAATTGAGCTAATTCTTTGATTTGTTTATTTAGAACCTGATAGGCATGAGTAATTTTATTCAATTTTTGCCTTTTATGCATCCCTGAAAGAGAATTTACATGTTTATTGATAATTTAAAGACAAATAAAAGAAAAACTAACTATCTTCATCATTCTTCACTTTATTTCTCTCCTTGGCATACGGAACGTACTGGCTATTAATCTTGGATGAAATATTTTCAGATATTCTGCTTAGGGATTGCCTAATTTCGGCTTGTTTATCCTGAAATATCTCCAAGTAACCTTTTGAACTATTTAACAAATCAGTGGTGTTGTTAGTATGTTCTTGTAAATTTTCAAAAATATTATCATAATCTTGAATTAGATCGCTACTCTCCCTTATCTTAGTTATATCCTGATTAAGTATTTCGATAGCTGAGTTAAAAACAGTGATCGGTTTACTATCTTCTGCTAAAATAACTTCCATTTTTTTCTGGTATTCGAATAGTTATAAAGTAACTACTGACTTTTCTGTTGTAGCTAACAAGTCTAGTTGTGTTCCAAGCTCAGAGACGACCGCTAATACCATTCATAAAAGAAAATCAATAGGATATGCATATTCGAAAATATTCGTTCAAGTTGATCAGTTACTAATTCATGGAGAAATTTGCTAAAGCAGGAAATATTCAATTATTATCTATATTATTATTGATATAGCCGTATTATGATTATTATTATTATTATTATTATTTCTTAACAATATAACAAAATTTAGTGTAATATCTTCAATAGTTTCTTTTTCTCTATCCTTCTCTCTCTTACAATCAGTTCAGACTTTAGAATTAAAGCTTTTATTTTTTTTTAAAAAAAAAATACTTTCAGATTAATAAGCTTTTTTGATTGATAGATAGTATAAGCTATCATTTTTAAGTTCCTTTTAAACTGATAAATAAACATTAACAAATTATAAAATTATTGTTTTTTAACCTAACCTAACTCTTTTTATTTATTAAATTCTCCAGGTAATTGGTATATTTAGTCTTTATAAATATTGAATAGATCAAATCCAAAAGAGATATGTAATTTGCCGTTTTTTATTATTATTCGCTTCATTTACTAATCTCTAACTGTGTAATAAAGATTAACAGAACGAACTCTTGTCATTTGATATTCCAAAGTTCATAGACTTAAATTCACTCGTAATTACACAGTGTTAAGTTTACTCTAGCCCAATAAATCAACCAGATAAACAGTGTCAACAAGCTTATTCGACTTTAATCGAAGCAAATAAATAAAAAAAATACAGCTCTTAATCTCTACTAGAGAAGGACTTATGAAAGATGAAAATACCAATAGATGGCGATACTAATCGTCGTTAATAAATCTGCCAGGAGTGATGGAAGGAAATAAAATGGAAAAAAAAGGAAAAGTCTTAAAAAAAAAGAAAAAAAAAAGAATGATAGAAAGAAAGAGTTTGAGTAAGTGCGTGTGTGAGTGAGTGAAGGAGTAGAAGAGGAAAGGAGTGGAAGAGAGTGGGAGAGAGTGGTGTATGTGCGTTAAGTGTATACGTGTCTGTGTATGTTTGGAAGTAGATTCTTAAATTCTTTGTTGGAGAAGTAATTTATATGCTGAAGTGGGCTATTTTATCATGCTTAATGTAACGCATTGTTCGGTTCATACTATGCGACAAGCTCGTATCTTTAAGAGATTGAGAAGAGTGAAAAAAATTAATTACCAGCAGTTTATCAATACAAAACGCCATTGGATATTAATCAAGCGACGACTACCGAGTACTTTTTTAACAGTTAAGAGATTAAAAATAGCGTATCTGTTCTCTCCCACAAACCCGATAAGGATGTTATCGGCTTAATGTTTGAACGAGTATTGTTTTCGAAAGAAAAGCGAATTGTCGAAGCGATTATAAGCGGCCGTTAATCTCTTATAAAGTATCGCCGCTTATCGTTTCGCCAGTCTATTGTTATCTATAGAATTTTTAACAATTACTCTATCGGTGTGTAAACAAGGCCGATATTCTTGTTGAAGCGGTTGCACAAATTAAATAAACACGCTGTCTTATCGGTGCTTGTTTCAAGCACTAGATAAGATCAACCGTTTTTTTTTTATGTACTGGGAAAATATTTATTGCTAGACTTTTTTTATGGGACAAGAAAAGGGGAATTTTTCAGGTGCTTGGTAATTTTTCTCTTTTTTTGTTATCTCAATAACTTTTTTTTACAGCTCTTTCAAGATAGCTACTTCTTTTTATCTATTTAAATATACTGATAGTAATTAATAAGGAAGATGATATTTTCTGTTGATAATGCTAAATATACTCCCTAATCGTATAATGCAACTATATAGTAAATTGCGTGCAACGGCAAGATGAATCTCGTTATTCATCGTCTATTTACCGATGCCTTATTGCTAACTTTGTAAACATTGACGAAAACGTTCTATATTTGTTCTGGCTGCTGCCTGCTCGCTCTTTCTAAGTGTCTATTTACAATCGCCATCATTGTTTGACCGCCTTGTTTGCACAGCGGCGTCTGTTCGACAGTCTACAAACGTTTCTGTTTACTCTGTAAATGTTCTTTTGTAGATATTGCAGCTTTCTGAGGCGTTCCTTCGACGAGCCGCAGGGGGTTCTTTTTCATACTCTTTTAAGCTTCTACTCCTCCTCCCCCTTTGCTCTTACTCCATCCATCTACTCTTCACCCCATTTCTTTCTTTCTCTTCTGACGGCCTCACGGAAATGTATTCATTAAGTAATGGACACGCGCTTCGTGCCGAGAATGACTCACAACCTAACAATGTTAGGCGAGAGAAAAGAGCGACTATAATTCACCGTCAAAGGCAATATAATAGGCGTATTGTTGAAATTGTTTGCCCATAGCTAATAAGAGAGTGAGAGAGAGAGAGAAAAAAAGAAAGAAAAACTGAGAGAGAGAAAAAGAGAGGCGAAGAGAGAGATGAAATAGGGGAGGGTGGAGGGAAAGGGGAGAGAGGCGGTTATTGGGCAGTGATTGGTCGGAGTGCTGAGAAAAAGTTGGTCGCTTTTTTTCTATTACTCCTTTTTACTTTTCTCAATCACTCCTACTCTTTTTTCTTATTTTCGTTTACTTTCTCTCTACTTTCTTTTCTATCTTTGTGTTTCTTTATTTCGATTCTTTTTATCTCTTCATTTTTCTGTGTTATATACCGTTTCCTTCGTTTTTTTTTCGGCAAGCAGTGGAAGCTCACGTTTTGTCAATATTGATTCAGATGTGAAAGTTTGGCGAACATATTTACTAAGCTTTTGACATTTTCGCCTCCTTTATACGTGCTCTTCAAAGCCGATTTGTTGACTCGAAACGCTTTTTTTCAAAACATTCCATTAATTCTTTTTCTTCACCGAAATATTTATTACCTTTACACTTCCTTTTCCCGCCTCAAATTTTTCTTCTCTATTTCTTTACTTTATCAATTATAATGTTTCTTTTTTTTTCTGTCCAAAACATATCCATTTACTTTTTTTTTACTTAACGGAAGGATACAATTTTACCGGTTTAGCAACTTTTAACCCTTATAAACATTAACTCTCTCTGTCTCTCTCTCTCTCTCTCTCTCTCTCTCCCTCCCTCTCTCTCTCTCTCTCCCTTACCACTTTACTCTTCTTGATACTTTTCAATTTATCCTACATTTGCTTTTCTTTTTTCCCTTTTTCCTTTCTTTTTCCTATTACTTCTCCTCTTTTTTTCCAGAGCCTTAATAACGGTACACGCGAGGCTTGTCAAAGTTCGTGTCAATATTGACTTTCGAAATCCGGCTCGTATTCTACGTACTCTGCGGAATTCTTTTCTTCGGGCTAAAATCGCGCATGTAATACAAACTGTCAACATTTATTCGACTTGATGGAAACACCGAAAAAAAACGACCGAGATATTGTCAATTCAGTAAGTGTATGCAGGTGCATTGAGAGACTTAAAAAAAAATAGTAAAAGAAGAGTGGATAGAGAATGGAAAGGAATGAAGAAAATATCTAATATATAGAATTACTGGAGTTCGATTGGCCTAGATAGCCGCTCGATTTGCATTCGGATCATTTTTATTTACCGACAACAAACATAAAAAAGCATATGCGCTATTTCGATTAGACGTCGGTCAATATTAGCCTAATGAGCCGACCGAAAGCGTATTGAATAGATTACACACACAAATGCATTGAAAACCCGTACAGAATACGAATATATAAGTAGATAGTTGGTAAACATCATAAAAAGGCGCCGAACGACTGATTTGTTTTCCTTTCATATCCGAAATTTTTTCACACCGTCTACGACGCCATCTGGCGACCAGATATGTCTTCACAAATATAGCGAGTAATTAGCAATTAGGCGTAACTATATACTGGCGCCGTTTTCAAATTATATACGCATGTATATATTATTGCTTTCAGATGATTGATGGTAATTTATAAAAACGAGCGGCTATTTATTACTCTGCATATACAGTGCGACGATAATGTCGATTTTTTATAGATATTTTACTGTATATATATATAAGTATATAGATAAGTATATAAAGTATATATAATACTGTGTATAGACAGTCTAGGATATATACTTTCGTACATAATGTATTTGTATACGTATATTTATATACATATTTTTTAATATTTCTTACTATTTATTTACATAAGAATATCTATAAATACACTATGAATTTCCTTCTCTCTCTCTCTCTCTCTCTCTTTCTCTCCTTCCTTTCATTTACTTTTACTTCTTTATCCTTTTCTTTCTTCTTTTATTCTTCTTCTTACTCGTAGTACACTAAAAAAGAGTCTATAGAGCGTATTACTATATATATACATATTCATAGTTTTAAATACATCAGTTAATTGAGAGGACATATTTAAAATAAAAAAGTATTAATTCACCTATTATATACTATAGACACCTTTTCACAGTTAGGAGGACTTAATTAGTCGGCTTGCCGGTTTGAATGCCAACGCCCCTAATCGCACACATGAGTCTTCTACGACCGCCTGTACTCTGATTAGAATCTAATTGAAAACACGCGCGTCGTCGACAAGTTGGCAGTATATTATTAGTGAATTTACGAAATCCCTTTCGAAACACACCTGTTCAATTAGGCGGAATAGAATGTTTTTAACCTTTAAAACAATATGAGTGCTTTTTTATGCAGGTATACTATTTTATACGTGTTTACAATTAAAAATAATAATAATAATAAAAAAAAACAGCGTATAAAAAGGGGTTGTTTAAAAAGAAAAAAGGTATAGCGCTGAGGGGCGAACGCCCTAAATTGGCGGCTATTAGATTGAGGGCATTCTTACTTTGATTTAAATGCTATCGATTCCTTTTCTTCACCGTACTCGTATCGTAAATTAGTCGGGAGAAGGAGGAGAAAGAAGGAGGAGAAGGCGGGCTGCCAAGGACAATTATCTATATAGGCTGTTCTTGAAAAGAAAAAGGGCGGGTAGGAAACAAAGAAATTTGATGATTAAGAAGAAAAAGTTAGATAAAGCAAAGAGGCGGAAAAGAGAAAGAAAATCAAACCCCCCTCCGGCTTAGCCGGTGAGGTCGGCGCTCGCGTTTATTTGACAGCTTCATAATTAACCTATTATGGCGGTTGTTGGTTGTGAAAGCGTATCGTCTTTCCAAGATAATAATAAGCCGTAGTATAGGCTTACTTGATAAGGTCGAATAATATAAAGTTCTTTCTATAAACTTTTTTCATATATATAAATTGAAAACAGCAAGGGGTAGTGTTTTCGCATACTTATGTGTAGGCCCAATACCCTTATTAAGAATTATATGGTCGTATCGGTAAACAAAGACGGTACTTGAGGGATTTGCTTTGATAAGTGATTATAACTAAGCGTTTAATAGGCTTTTCTTTGCTCTTTGTGTTTACTGTTCTTGTAATTTAACATTACACAAGCGCACCTGCCTATGTTTGCCTTTATGCCTTTTAGATGGCGT